TAAGCCTGCCGCTTCATCCCATGCCTCTGGGTTCCACTGCAGTGGTCTCTCTGCCAGGTGTCTCTCTCTGCCAGGGAGTCTCTTGGCTGCGTGTCTCTGCCAAGGAGGTCCAGTGCAGGGATCTCAGGTCCGGGGACACACTCCACTGCACCTCTAGCTCTTCTCTCCTGATGGTAGTGGAATCCCACCTGTTTTCTTTGAATAATTTTGTTTTCCTGTTGTGAGTATACACAGATCGTACCCCAGTTCAGTCATTGCTACATGTGCAATTTAGTGACATTGGTGACAGTCTTTGACTTGTGTAGCCTTTCTCACCCTCCCTTTGTGAGTTGTTCCTCTCCATTGGCATGAACTCACTGCCCCCTGAGGTTCCTGTCTAACCCTTCGAGGTGATGTTGTCAGTTAGATCCCATACAGATAGACCTTACAAGAGCACAGTGCTTACAGCAGATCTTTTTTACAAGTTAAGCTAAACTATGGTTTGGTTTTAAAAAGACTTCAGGGGACAGTTTTGGCTTAAGGTTTATAAATTATGCGGGGGTCCACCTACTCTCCATGGTTCCAGAAAGTCTGGAATCCATGAGAATTTAAAATTACGTTCTGAATGTCCCCTCTTTTAACTCAGCCCCCCCCCTTTTTTTGTTTTAAATTAAGTAGATTGCTCAGCCTTCCTTCCAAGGAGTGGCTGGTGGGTTTGAACCACCAGCCTTCTGGTTAGCAGCCAGATGCCTTAGGCACTACGCACCAGAGCTCTCTTTTATTTATTTTCATTTTTGCAGCGTTCTTTCTTCCCCTCCCCTCCTACTCTGCCACCTGTTTTTGTAAATAAAATTTATGTGAGCACAGCCCAGCCTTTTCATTTCTGTAATGCCTGTGGCTGCTTTTGCTGTAACAGCAGAGCTGAAAGTTGCTACAGAGACCAAATGGCCCACAAGGCCTAAAGTATTTACTCTGGCTCTTTAGGAAAATGTTTGCTGACCCCTGCACTAGGCTGGCATCCTTACCGGCTCCTAGCAGGTTCCTGACCCTGCACTGAGGTCTGTGGCCTATGTGTCCTCCAGAGTGTCCCACAGGGCCAAGGAGAGGACCTTTATGTGGCTGTTCACACACACAGCCTCCCGTTTGCTCCTGTCAGGAACCCAGCACGGCTGTTGGAATGGGTATGACTGTCCTCATCCTAGAGTGGAGGGAACCGGGTGACGATGAGGACGGAGACAGCCTTGTTCACTGTCGCAGCCTCAGCATCCACCAATAAATATCATGAAAGAACAAAAGCAGGGGTCTTGACATGCCCAGGCCTCTGGTTGGCCAGGCTCACTCTGTAATGGGCGACGCCATCCTGGGGCCTGCCGGCCTGTTTGGTGCCATCTCACAGGCTCTGTTTCTGTTCCTCAGCTCAGAGCCTTTGGACCCAGCCATGGAATGGTCGGCCTTCACGGAGCGGGATGCTAGGAGTGGCCTGGTGATGCAGCGGCCGGGGCGGCCAGCCCTGTTGGTCAGCAGCACGAGCTGGACAGGTCTCCAGGACCCTCCTTGGGGATTGTTGGGATGAGCACCTGGCTTGTGGTGTGGCTTTGGGGTCCCTGAGGAGGAAGGGGAAGGGGGATGGGGCAGTGTGTGTGGGGAACTTCTAGGATCAGGCCCATGACATTCAGTCCTCTCTCCTTGTAGAAGACGAAGACTTCTCTGTTCTGCTGGAAGCATTAGAAAGTAGGTGTGTCCTGTCACCAGCAGCTCTGGGTGTGTGTGGGGCTGTTGCACTGCTCACTTGGACTTGGGCATCCTGGGTGGGCAGCATGTTCTTATCCTCAGGGGTCCTGGGTGTGCTGGCCCGAGGGCGGTGTGGGTGGTGAGGTGGGCAGTGAGTGCCCATCTGAGTCCCTGAGTGAACAAGCCCACATCCAAACGCTGCCTCAGGGAGAATGAGCTCAGCCCGACTGGCCACAACCGGCTGGCTTCCCGGCCAGGTCCAGACCCCTCCTCAGCCTCCTCCCCAACCCCACTCACCTGAGTAGGTGATGCTGCTTTGTCCTTCATGTATCTGTTGCTTTTTCAAACACAGAGTTTGAACAACTGACTGTTGATGGAGAAAACCTTCCTTCTCTTATCTGTGTGATAACAGGTACCACCTGGACCCCGTGGTGTACCTCTGTTTACATGGCGGTGGGGGAAGGGGTGGAAAGCAGGCAACTTTAGGGTATCTGTCGTCTGCCTTGATGTCCATGGTGGCTCTCACCCACCGAAGTTCTTAAACAAAAAAAGTCCAAACCCACCGCTGTCAGGTTCACTCTGACTCATAGCAATCCTACAGGACAGAGTGGAACTTCCCCGTAGGGTTTCCAAGCTCTGATGGCATAGTACCTAAGGCATCTCACTGCTAACCAGGAGGCTGGCAGTTCAAACCCACCAGCCACTCCTCGGAAGGAAGATTGGGCAGTCTATTCTGTAGTGATACTGCCTCAGAAACCCAAGGAGGGGTCGCTGTGAGTTGGGTCCAACTCGACGGCAGTGAGTTTGGTTTTTGTTTTTTTAATCTTTACGAAAGCAAAGTGCAAACCAAACCCCCTGCTGTCAGTTTGATCCTGGCCCCTTAGGTTTTCCAAAGTTGTCAATCTCTATGGAAACAGGCGGCCATGCTTTCCTCCCTCGGAGCGGCCGGTGGGTTTGAACTGCTGACCTTTACATCAGTAGCTGAGCACTTAGGGCCTGTACCACCAGGGCTCACTGCAGCTCTCAGGTGGGGTTTTTTCACCTGCTTCTCAGGGCTTGGGACTGACCTGGGTACTGGCCTGACTCCCAGTTAGGCCCCTGGGGCCCTATGTGGCTGAGATGGCCTGCCAGCTCCCCGGAGTCTTAGAGTGGGTGGATGGGACATCTGGGACGTGGCTGCTCCTGCCCTGGGGGAGCCCCAGAGCCTGAGACTGTGGCCAGGCATCGGGGGTCAGCACGTGACCTCTTCTCTCTGCCAAGGCAAAGGCCCGCTGAAGGAACACTACAACGGCATCATTAGCCAGAAGCGTTTCCGGCACGTCCGCATCTGCACCCCGTGGCTGGAGGCCGAGGACTACCCCCTGCTCCTGGGTAAGCACGGCCCGGCACGAGGAGGAGTGAGGAGGGGAGGGTGGTTTAAAGGTGTTTTGCCCTGGTGGTGCAGTGGCTAAAGTACTTGGTTGCCGACTGAAAGTTGAGCAGTTCAAACCCACCAGCTGCTATGCAGGAGACAAAGGTGGCAGTCTGCTTCCACAAAGATTACAGCCCATGGGGCAGTTACACTCTGTGCCACAGGGTCTCCGTGAAACAGCACCTGCTTGACGGCAGGGAGGTTGGTGTTTTCAGTCTAGTTCCCCGGTGCTGCTGTAAAAGAAATACCACAAGAGGGGGTTTTGTTAAACAAGGACCTATTTCCTGACAGTGTTGTTGTTGTTGTTGTTGTTATGTGCCCTCGAGTCGGCTTGAAGTGTGAACTCGGGATGCTGCTCTAGGGAAAGGCCCATGCTGTTAGCCCTGGGGCAGGTCCTTGCCACAGCTTCTCGAGCATTCTCAGCCATTCTCAGCGTCCTTGGCGACCTCCCTGTAGAACCTGTCTGTTCACCATTGGCGCTTGTCTGTGTCTAACCTCCTTTCATGTCTCAAAAACGGGTAGGTTTAAGACAGGAATGGCCTCATTAACATAACAAAACCTTATAGGGATTAGATTCTAACAGATTATTTGGGGGCACAGTTTGATCCACGACATAAGGAGACACTCTAGGTCAGGATATTGTACAGGCAGACCTCCGTTTATTGCTCTTTACAGATAATTGCATTTTTCACAAACCGAGGGCATGTCGCAACCCCACATTGAACCCCACGTTGAACAAGTCCGCCGGCACCCCTTTTCCAGCAGCGTCTGCTCACTTCCTGTCTCTGTGTCCTGTTTTGGTCATTCTCACGATATTTTAAACTTTTCCATCATACTACTGCATGTGTAGTAGACTACAGTATAGTGTCAACCAAACTTTTATGTGAAATAAGGAACCAAAAGGGCTCGCGATTTACTTGATTGCGACAGCACTGAATTGAAGTGCTCTGGAACCGAACCTGCAGTCTCAGTTCTGCCTGTAATCGTCTGTAAAGGGCTCGGTAGTGAGTGTTTACTTGTCTTTGTGCCACATTCCAGTTTGTTTTTTACATACCTTTAAAAATTGAAAAACTATTCTCAGCTCAAGGGCCAGAAATACATACAAACAGGCCTTGGGCTGATTGGGCCCTGGCTTGGGCCCCGCTGCGGTGGGGGGTCCTGGGAGGAGGGCAGTGTGGGGCCTGCCCGGCAGCTGGTGGCAGGCGCTGGCTGGATGCCAGGATAGGAGGCTGTTTCCTGGCACAGCCCAGGTGGCTGCCTGGTGGCCCAGAGCTGCTCACCGTGACCGAGTCCGTGTCCTGCTCACCTCTGCTCCTCCTGGGTCCCTACCTCTGTGCCCTGCAGTTAGTTCTGCTCTTTGCCTCAGGAGAAGCGCTGGGCCCGGGGTAGGGTTGGGTCCCCAAAGAGTGGGCGGGTGATGGCTTTGGGAGGGACACAAAGGAAGCATTAAACAGCGTGGACTATGTGCAAGAACTTCACTGCCCTTTTAATCTCCGCCTCATTACTCCGAGGAGGGGTGTCTTGGCCCAGTGTTTGGATACTCCTGACATGCTGTTTTGCAGCCTCGGGCCTCAGAGAGCCTGTGATGGGCAGGCGTCCCCAGCTGGTGGTCAGTGACACTGACTTGCTTTGCTGTTTGCTGACTTGCAGCGACCCCATGGGACAGAGCAGAACTGTCCCATAGGGTTTCCTAGGCTGTCATGCCCACAGGAGCAGGCTCCCAGGTCTTTCACCCGCGATGTGAGTGGGTCGTTCAACCTGCTGACCTTTGGGTGGCGCCACCATGCCCCTTTTAGTTGGCTTTCTCTTCACAGTCAGAGCTGGTTTTCTGTTGGGTCCGATCCTGGGTCCTTTTAAAATAAATTGTGGTTTAATAGAAAAAGTGAGTCAATTTAGATAAAAGCCAAAAAAAAGAAAACCAATCTCACTGCCATTAAGTGGATTCCAATTCACAGCGACCCCACTGGGTTTCTGAGGCTGTAAATCTTTATAGAAGTAGACTGCCTCATCTTCCTTTTGTTGAGCAGCTGATGGGTTTGAACCATTGACCTGGTTAGCAGTAAAATTCCTTAGGCATTCGCCCCCAGAGGTCCTTAATTTAAGTAAAAGTAGCATGTAACTGGGGAGCTCTGGTAGCATAGTGCCTAAGGCACTTGACTGCTCACCAGATGGCTGGCGGTTCAAACCCACCAGCCACTCCTCAGAAGGAAGGTTGGGCAATCCTACTTCCGTAGTGATACTGCCTCGGAAACCCAAGGAGGGGTCGCTATGAGTCGGGTCTGACTCGAGGGCACATAACAACAACAGCATGTAACTGGGAGCTCTGGTAGTGTAGTGCCTAGGACATTTGACTGCTAACCAGAAGGCTGGTGGTGCAAACCCACCAGCTGCTCTTCGGAAGGAAGACTGGGCAGTCTACTCCTGTAGAGATACCACCTTGGCAACCCAAGGAGGGGTCACTATGAGTCGGCATCAACTCGACAGCAGTGAGGTTTTTTTTGTTGTTTAGTTTGTAACTAACAGGCGGGAAGTTTGACACAGAGCAGCATGGTCAGGAGTGGTGTTGGGCACCCTGCCAGGGTCTCTGGCCCTCGCCAGGCTGCTTGGCATAAGCCATTGTATTTGAGGCTGGGGAGTCCCTGCATGTGCATATGGTTAACTGGTTGGCTGCTGACTGAAAGGGTGGAGGTTTGGGCCCATCCAGAGGTGCCGTGGGAGAGGTCCTGACGGTCTGTGTCTGAGGTCTGCCACTGAGAAGCCTCTGGAGCGCGGTTCTCCCGTGACACACGTGGGGTCGCCATCCGTCAGCCAACCTGATGGCGACATGTTCACCGGACTGGGGTCTGGGGCTGGCCCAGGGGCTGCAGTGGGTGCCGGGGGGTACTGACTCCCAGCTTTGCAGGATTTGTATCCATGTTCTGATCGGCCCCTCACCTTTGCTCACAGGGTCGGCGGACCTGGGTGTCTGTCTGCACAAGTCTTCCAGCGGCCTGGACCTGCCCATGAAGGTCGTGGACATGTTTGGGTGCTGCTTGCCCGTGTGTGCGGTGCACTTCCGCTGGTAGGAGCTGAGACCCTTTCCGCCCCATGCAGGGTCTGACCGCCTGGGCCACACTTGGGGAGGCGCCCTGTGCCCCGAGGAGTGGGAGCCCCCGGCAGAGTGTGTGTGCGGGGAGCCCCACGGAGGAGGCAGGACTTCCACCTGGCACGTGTGGAATGAGACGTGCAGAGTGCCGGCCCCCCGTGCAGGGCTGTGTGGGGAACAGGGTGGCGGCTGCAGCGGCCTGAGGTTGGCCGTGCATCCCTTCCTTTATGGGTCTGCGTTCATGCAGTTGAAGGGGAATCAGTTAAACGGCTGGGACGCTGGGACTGCTGTCCGTAGCAGACACGGGTGGGGAGGGTGCTGTGGGCAGCCTTAGACAGGAAGCCGCGGCCCATCCTGGCTTCTCAGTGCTGCTCAGAAGCCACGGGTCGGAAGTACAGGGTGAGCTTAGGGTCTGCGTGAGCCGAGCTCTGGCCCTGCAAGTCAACCCCTGGTTACCCGGTTTCCCGGAAAGCCCGCCTCCAGTGCGGTTGCTTCTCGCCTCGTTCTCTGGCCGATTTAAAACAACTCAGCTGTGGTCTTGGACTACATCCTTAAACTCAAATACCACCCACTGGAACAGCAAAGCTCCCCCCACCCCGTTAGTGGGTTTGACTATTTTGATGTTCGGTCGATTTTCCTTACACACAGAAGTTATGTCCTGTCAAGTTACCATGAACACGGGGTTAATGAATATTGAGCCGCTGCTCCTGGGGAAATACTAGGTTAGGCCCCTGTGAGCCTCGGGTCACAACACTTACATCAGCCAATCCATACATAACCTTATTTAATAGACACTGTTTATTTCAAAGCTTTATTTTGTTGCTGAGAATACACACAGCCAAAAGTACACCGTTTCTTCTTTATATGTTGCTGAGAATACACACAGCCAAAAGTACACCATTTCTTCTTTATTTTGTTGCTGAGAATACATGCAGCCAAAAGTACAGTCGTTTCTCCGTGGACAGTTCAGTGACATTGATGAGTTCCCCGAGTTGTGCGACTTTTCTCACCCTCCTTTTCTTCTTCCCTGTTGACATCATCTCACTGCCCCCCAAGCCTCCCATCTCATCTCGAGTTGCTGTTGCCAGTTTGAGTCATCGACGTTGACCCCACGGCCAGCAGCAGTGCCCCCATGGCTGAGCGACGCTGGTGTGACACCCGTGTTCTGTGCGAGGCACACGAGAGCCTCCCGCCCTCAGGAGCGCCTCTCGGCGCCTCCCGATGAGCAGAATCACGTTTTCACAAAGATGTCAAAGCAGGGCACCAAGCAGACAGACCCGAGTCTTGTTTGCGGAACGAGTGCTGAGACAAGAAGGCAGGGCGTTGGCTTGTTCACCCCGCGGGGAACGTGTGCACGGGGTGACCCTGGGCTGACCCGGACCTTTCCCTGCGCTGCACCCGTCGGTGAACAGCTGTGAAGGTGCTGCGGGTAGTGCCTGGGGTACAGATAGGTCTTCTCCATCCAGATCCAAATCTGAGAACACACTCTCTGCAGCCAGCCCCCCGACTGGCAGCCTGGGGGTGGGGTGGGTCAGGGTGGCACCCCAGGGTTCCGGATTCTTCTCCAGGCGGCCGGGGCTCTCAGGCCTCCCGATTCTCTCTGCAGTTTGCATGAGCTCGTGAAGCATGAGGAGAACGGCCTGGTCTTCAAGGACGCCGAGGAGCTGGCCGCCCAGCTGAAGGTAGCCGTGTCTGCCGGCACCGGCCTCTTCCAGCAGGGCCCCGGGGGCCGTGACGATCGGGATGGAGAGCAGAAGAGGGGGCGGAGGACAGGCAGGCCAGCCGGGCCGCCTCTGCTGTCGGCATTTCATGGGCTCAGTGGCTTGGGAACTGGGACACGATCCCGTCTCCCCTCTGGGCTTGTGGAGTTTGCAGACCGTCAGTGCCCCAGGGAGTGGTCAGGGTCAGGAGGGAGCCTGAGGGTGGAGGGGACTTCCTGGACTAGCTGGGAGAGGTGGGGAGGACCCTTACAACCATGTTTTTTTTTTTAATTGAGGCAAAAATATGCTCATTCAAGTTTCCACACGTACAGGTTACTGACACTGATGGTGTTCTCCAGGTTGTACACCGTTCTCACTGTCCCTTTCCAAATGGTTGCACCTCCATGAACATAACTCAGTGTCTTCTGAACAGAACCCCCCTCCCTGCTGCCCCCGCCACCATTACTCGGTTTCCACATATTTGCTCATTTCACGTAAGCGAGGTGTCTGTCTTTCTGCACAGACTCCCTTTGCTTGGCGTGATGTTTTCAGGGTTCATTCGTATGGTGGGTGCACATTTCTCATCAAGCAAAGCAAAGCATCATCATTCTTGATGATTTAAGACGGGGGTCAGCAAGCTATTTCTGTGAAAGGCCAGATGGAAATATCGTAGCCTTTGCCATGCAGTCTGGGGCAGCTCCTCATCCCTGGCTTTGTTGTTATGTGCCCTTGAGTCGGATCCTACCCATAGCGACCCCTCCTTGGGTTTCCGAGGTGGTATCACTACAGTAGATTGCCCAACCCTCCTTCCGAGGAGTGGCTGCATCCCTGCCCTAGTCATGTGAAAGCAGCCAGACAGTCTGAACAAAGGACAGTGGCTGTGCCAATAAAACTTTATTCATAGACAGGCAGTGGCTGGATTTGGCTAGCAGGCTGAAGAGTGCTGGCCCCAATATGGACAATCTAGCAAAGCCAAAAAGATCATGGACATCACCCAGTTCCCAGCAGACACGCAGGACTGAGCCAGGCAGGGGCTGAGGGAGGGTGCTCCTGGGGGAAGGGCGAGGCACCAGGTCACGTGTGTTGGGAGACGGGATTGCGTGTGGTGGGACAGGGACACAGGAGTCTCTAGGAGAGCAGTCCGGGAGGAGGGGCAGGAAGATGAATTTGCCAGGTGCCGGTGTCAGGATTAGCACGGAGCTGTGCCGGAGGCCGGGCCGGGGGCTGTCCAGAGCGGGGAGGCCAGCTGGCAGACTCCAGGGGAGGGTGACAGGGAGGCTGGTGGCTCTAGGAGGAAGGGCTCTGGGTGGGATGGACGAGGGAAGTCCTGGTCCTTGATTTTCTTGTAGACACTTTTCTCAAAGTTTCCCGATCCTGCTGGCAAGCTGAACCAGTTCCGGACGAACCTCCGAGAGTCCAGGCAGCTTCGCTGGCACGAGAGCTGGAAGCAGACTGTGTTCCCCTTGCTCGTGGACACGTGACCACTCCCTCAGGCTGGAGGTGACGTGGCCCCGTCCACCCGGAAGACCTCCACGCTGCTGTCCCTTCCCTCTCCCCAGAGCGGGCCTGCTGCCCTCCCCCTGCAGGATGCAGCCTCCCCAGTCCTAGGTCCCGCACACGTGTGCAGCAGTGCCACCCAGTGGCCGGAAGCAGGAAGGCCCCTTTGATGTTCCCCCAGCACAGCCAGGGGCTGTTTTTCCTGGCTCCTTCCACAGAGGCCTGAGCACCTCCTTTCCTTCTCCTGCTCTCTGTGCCCTTCACTCAGTTCCTTCCTTGTGTGCGGCAACGCCAGCATCTCTGTCCTCAGGCTCCGTCTCCCGGTGTGTCCGTCTCTGTCTGTCTGGCCTGCCCTCCGGCACGTTCCTGGGATCTGGTTCCTGACTTGAGAGCAGGCCCCACTGCTGCAGTCAGGGCAGACGTTCGGCACGTGAGCAGGCCTGGCTTCCTGAGGAGGCGAGTGCTTGGGCTGGGGACAGTCACGTGGTGTTTGTATTTACACAAATGAAACGCTTCTCTTTGAGCCACGTTTCTGGTTTATGGTGGTCTGTGAAGGAGAACTCCTGGCAGGAAGGGCACCCCCCAACCCGTATTCCATTACGGCAGTCTTTGTAATGGAACTCGGCGCTCTTCAACAGTTTGCGTCCGGCGAGCTGAATGGCCTTCCCCCAGTAACGGTCTGATCTTCACATCTCCCAGCGACACAGCTGTCGAGGTCTACAGCGCTAGCTTCAGCACTGCTATCTCTGAGGGCTCGTCGTAGGGAAACAGTTTCTGATCATGACGGGGCATTGCTTCCCAGGGGATCCCAGCCTGGTCTGGGGACGGACAGCACGAATCAGCACAGCGCTGGGGCCAGGACACGGCCTGTCCTGGGGCGCAGTCATCAGGAAGGCTCTGGGGTGTGTGGAGGGGTTTGCTTGGGTGGGTAGGTGTGTGTGTGTGGAGGGGTGTGTATGTACATGCATGTGCAGGTGTGTGCACATGTGCAGGGCTTCTGGGTGTGAACAGTGTTCTCAGCAGTGGGGGCAGTGCAAGGCTGTCTGCTTGTCTAAATGGCTGCCGCCCCTGCAACCATCGCTGGCTTTTGCGGCTCCTGAACGTTTCTTGTGCTGAGGCACTGCTTCAGGTGCATGCTGGTTCACCTCGTTCACCTGAGGTGTGGATGCCCAGAGGCTGTGTGTGCACGCATACGTGTGTGCAACTGGCCTCCAGGCCTGTGCACGCCCCACCACCAGAGCCTTACTGGCCTGATGCCATCAGGTGGGTTGTACCCACCCTCCTCACACACAAGGGAACGAGGTCAAAGGCTCATGGAACCTGCTGTCACGCAGGTGGGCTGCTGGCTGCCCCCCCTGGCGTCTAGTAAGATGCTGCCTCTCCCTTGGCCCTCAGTGCTTGGCCATGCCGCCCTGAGCCCACCCACCAGCCCTGCAGCCCACCTCCACTGCCAGGCTGGGGTGCCGCCAGCCTGTCGTTCCAGACATTGTTACAGGGACTGGTGGTCTGTGTCGGGGTTTATTTCCTTGTATTTTGGTAATTCCCACCTAACTAAAGTCTGTGGGGACAGGGCAGGACCAGTGGTTCTCTCTCATCTGGCAGGAGGGGCTGGGACCCCAAGGCTTACCTAGTCCGGTTGTGAAGAGCTGGAACGTCTCTGGGTTCCTTATGGTGGATGCAATATAAGCGTCTAAAGCCCGCGAGCCCTCGTGGCAGGCCGAGAGCAGCTGTAACACCCTGGTCAGGGAGAGGATGGTCCCTGGGCAGTATAGGACATCTGCAGGAAGAGGACAATGTCAGTGCCGGGTTGCCTGGGGCCCAGGGCCTTAGGGGCCCAGGGCTGCCTGGGGTCCAGGGTCTCGGGGGGCTCAGGCATTGCTTTGTACCTGTGGAGCAGCAGGGGCATTAGGCCTGTGCTTTCAAACGGAAAGGCAGTCACTAGGGCAGGGAAGGAAAACGGGAGAGGAAAGCTGCCTGGAGACACAGCCACAGACGGTGCCCTGCTGACTGGCCTGCCGCAGGCCGTCCCCAGACGTCTGTGCACGGGCCACTGTCCACTGCAGTGGCGGTGTGCTCACTCCTGCCTGCCAGCCGGTGCAGGGGAGATGTCCTGCACCCCTTGCCCTGGCACGTCCATGGCTCCTTTCCCCATGGGGCTGCATAGCTGAGTGAGCTTGCTGTGGAGGGCTGGGGGACTCACTACATACCACTGTCTCAGGGGCGCTATGCTCTTACCAGAAATGGTTGATTCCTGAATGACGGGGTCATGGACCTCTATAAAGACACAAAGATGGGGACGCCACAGGGACAGACGTGTGGTGACGCTGCAAGCCCCGAGGCAGACGGAGGTGAGGCCCGCAGCGCCGCCTCCGCATCCCGACCTGGTGCCCAGCCCGGGGCTCCTGGGCTGCTTGGCGGACTCAGACGCGGGCTTGTGAGAGGCGGGCTGCGAAGTGGACTGAATAGGCTGCTGTGGCCATTTTGGCCCGTGCCTGCGGCCAGCGAAACACCGGCATCTCAAATGGGAGTGGGGGAGGTGCTATGGGGGGCACTTCCCTCGGGCGCTGGTGAGGGAAATCAAGTCCATCCCGCCCCTGGGGCCTGGCTGACCTGAGGCAGTCCCTGTGGCCGGGTCTTCAGGCTTGCTGAAGAACCAGGTTCACACCCGTGGAGCCACTGTAATAGGACAGGGCATGGCCACTGTCTGGAGCCCACTCCTGTTGCCCATTTTACCCTGCAGCCAGACCCCAGCGGCTCTCTGGGTGTCCCGAGCCCTGAGTAGGATGAGCTGATAGGCAGCCCAGGCTGGCGGTACCTGCTGCGATGATAACGTCGGGCTGGAAGGCAGAGAGCTGCGGGGCTGTCACAAGGTCCCAGTCCAGCTGGGCCACCGTCACGGTGGGCTTTTCTGAGTGTTGCGTGTCGTAGCCCGGGTCCTGCCGAGGCGCCATGATGTCTGGCTCTATGGACAGGCCATTTAGGAGGACATTCTCCTGGAGCTGCTCAAGGACTCGGCTGTGACAGTCACTGAAGATGTATGCTCTGGGACGGCATGTTTTGCAAACGGCCAGGCCCGTGAGGCCGGCTCCACTGCCGAGCTCCAGGATGGTCCTGAGTGGGGGCAGGCAGACTCAGCATTGCCAGTGGCACAGGCCACACCTGGCTGGGTGCCTGCCCTGCCTGGTGTCCCCAGCTGTCACCTGTCAGCAAAGGCTGCCGGGTTCTCCACGGCCCACTCTGCAAGGTAGAGGGCGGCATTCCAAGTCACCAGGCCTGTGGTGCCGTGGGACACGATGGCTGTGCTCTCGGTGAGAGTGACTGCATCTCCGGAAGGCTGGGCCAAGAGAGGGGGAGAGGGTTACCCCACGACCAGAATGAAAGCAGCTGCTTTGCACCTTGTGAAACAACCAGTCAGCAGGGAGTTAAACGGCATGGTCCCTTGCACTGTGGGTGCCCTCGGCTGTAAGCTGTTCAGCTGTTTTCAGTACCCGTTATTGGTGGGTGGTGTGAGCACTGTTCTGAGATAAGTAATGTGAGATAAACAAATAGGTAGTATGGACTGCCCTAACTCGTAGGTTCTTAACGTGGTGTAAATGGTTTGTATTTGACTATTAACCACAAAGTTGGTGGTTCAAACCCAACCAATGGCTCTGCAGGAGAAAGACCTGGTGATCTGCTCCTAAGATCAGTCGAGGAAACCCTGTGGGCAGTTCCACTCTGTCCTCTAGGGGCGCTGTGGGTCAGAATGGACTCCAGGCAGTGGGTGTGGTTTGGGCTTTGCTTCTGTGAAGACTGACAGCCTTGGAGACCTGTGGGCAGTTCCACTCTGTCCTCTAGGGGCGCTGTGGGTCAGAATGGACTCCAGGCAGTGGGTGTGGTTTGGGCTTTGCTTCTGTGAAGACTGACAGCCTTGGAGACCTGTGGGCAGTTCCACTCTGTCCTCTAGGGGCGCTGTGGGTCAGAATGGACTCCAGGCAGTGGGTGTGGTTTGGGCTTTGCTTCTGTGAAGACTGACAGCCTTGGAGACCCTGTGGGCAGTTCCACTCTGTCCTCTAGGGGCGCTGTGGGTCAGAATGGACTCCAGGCAGTGGGTGTGGTTTGGGCTTTGCTTCTGTGAAGACTGACAGCCTTGGAGACCCTGTGGGGCAGCTCCACTCTGTCCTTAAGGCAGGCCTCAGCAGCAGCTAGTGACACTGACAACGTGATGCTGAGCGGTTTTCAGCAGAGCTTCTAGATTAAGAGAAACCAGGAAGGTGGGCCTGGAGATCTGCGTCCGCAATCAACCATGGAAGCCCTACAGCTTACGATGGTCTGATCTGCAGCAATCGTGGGGATGGTGCAGGACTGGGCCGGGTTTGGTTCCACTGTGGGGGGTACCATCAGCCAGGGTCTGACTCCACAGCACCTAGTAACAACACGGGCCTCCTAGAGCCCCATAGTGTGTGCTGCTAAAGGGCCTGAGTAGACAAGTCTGAGCACCGATGGTGGCAGAGGACAGCGGAATGACAGCTGTCCACGTTCACCCCCCGGATTCACTGAGGACCCAACACCAGGACCCTCGCTAAGTAAGTAACATGCATTACCTAATTTAACCCTCATAAGGTTAAAAAAAACAACAAAAACCACCCCAAGTTGTTGGTGTCAAGTCGATCCCGACGCATAGCAACCTCACAGGACAGAGTGGATCTATGCCTCAGGGATTCCAAGGCTGTGATTTTGATGGAAGCTGACTGCCTCATCTCCCAAGGACCTGCTGGTGGGTTTGAACTGCTGACCTTCCCTGAGCACTTAACCACTGCGCCATCAGGGCCTTTCGTCCATTAGGTAGGTACCCCTATTTGTTGAAATACTTAGTTTGCAGATGAGGAAACAGAGGCTAACTGAGCACAGAGCTGAGGAGTCAGGATTTGGCCCCGTGTGGGACTGAGCGGAGCCTGAATTTTCAACTCTGTCTGTGAAGGACCCGTGTGTGGCCCATGTCGGGGAGGGGGGTGCACGGGTGCACAGCTCGTACCAGCAAATAGCTGCGGTGGCCCTGGGTGGACTCCTCGGTGGTCAGGACCTCTGCAAGTGCCTCATATAACTCATCCAGGGGCTCCACGTGGACGGACTCGTGCTGGGGACGGACAGGACAGGGCTTCAGCCTGGGGGTTACGCTGGCCTTCGGGATAAAGCAGAGGCCCTGCTGCCTGCCTCACTCGGCCCTGTAGATAGGCTGGGCGGCCCTCCTCCAGGCGGGACAGTGGTCTGGGATGCACGGATTAAGATAAAGGCCTCCAGGTGGCATAAACAGCATGCAACCCCCGTTGTCAACGAGTGGGTTCTGACACCCAGCGACCCTACAGGACAGAGAAGAAATGCCCAATAGGCCTTCCAAAGCTGTAATCTATGGGATCAAACTGCCAACCTTTCTCCTGCAGAGTGGCTGGTGGTTTTGAACTGGTGACCTTTTGGTTTGCAGCCACGCACTCTACCACTGCAGCACCAGGGCGCCTGTGTACTCGAGTATTAACCTTAAGGGCTGGTGACTTAAACCCACCCAGCGGCGCATGGGAGGAAGGCCTTGTCATCTGCTTCCATTAAGGTCACAGCCAGGAAACCCTATGGAGCAGCTCTGCTCTGTGACACGGGGGGTCGCTGTGAGCTGACTTGGGGTGACTTCCCATAGGCCACGTTCATGGTGGGAGGGCCTGGGGGACCTCAGAGGGGTAGTCCCCCTTCAGGGCCATGGCAGCTGGAGTTCATGAAGCCGAGTGAGCACCAGGCAATAGCCCCAAGGGCAGGCACCCCAAATCCAGGGGGTGGTTCTCACCAAGCTGCTTTTCACATGGGCAGCTCCCAAAGGCTTCTTGGGGAGCAGCAGGGGCTCATCTGATGAGGGTCCTACTTCTCTTGGGTGGTGCTGGGGAGACCCCCATGGGGCCCAAACGGGCCATGCTGGTAAGAAGTGGGCTGAGGCCCAAGGAAGCCAAGATTGTTCCATCTG